CACACACACACACACACACACACACACACACACACACACATATTTTTGCAGTACTGGGGATCAAATCCATAGTCCTATGCACGCTAGGCAGGTACTGTGCACCAATTCAAGAAGACATAATATTCTCTCTATCTATCTATCTCTCCCTCCCTCCATCCACCCATCCACTCCTTCCTCTCACTCTATATGTCTCCCTCTCTCAGTTTCCTATGTACCCTAGGCTGACCTCCAACCTATGATCCTCCGGCCTCAGCCTCTCAAGTGCTGTTAATAGGAACACTGGCTACCACACCCAGTGGAACCTTAATTCTTGTTAGCACCTCACGCTAACCCTGGTCCTTTCTCTCCGTGCGTCAGCTTGTGCAATCACTTGACCAGCAAGCCCAGGATTGTTCTTGCTTGAAGCATCTACACGTTTTAATCCATCTACGTGGCTGTCAGAAACAGTTAGAGTCACCTCTAAACCCTCAACAACAGAATCTGGTAACTACTACCAACCTCCAACCAAGTGAGCTAACGGGCCTCGCCATGGAGGAGGGGGCTGATGAACACAGCAATAGGCTGGGCCTCAGGATTAAAGATCAGTTAGATGCCTAATCTCTGCTTAAGAAGCCTATGGTTCAGGAGAACACACGTGTAGAAAGAAACATTAATGTGTATTATGAAAGTGTAATGTATGGATATGGAGGAAAAACTATTTAAAATACATAGATAAGCATTAAAGATGTGAACCATATACTTCAGCACAAAATTGGCTCCAAGCCCAAAAACACGAGTCATTCACATCACACTGTTAGGTGCTCACAACTGCTAAGTGGTGATTTTGGTTTGGGTGCATCCCTTTTGACTCTGTAAGCAAATAGCAGCCTCTGTTTTATTTCTATGATGGTGGATGGAGCCCCTCAGCCTTAGGCGAGTGTAGCTTGTGAGTAATGCTTAACCACAATGTCAACTCACTCACACTTTATAATATGTCAGGACGTGACGCTAGAGGACAAGACTCAAACTAAAGACACATTTGCCTATGTGTTGGCAGAATTACACATGGTGTCATTTTTCATAAGCCATGGAAAATCATTTCGTGGGTCTTGGTTTCAGGAGGGATGGAACCAGAGTTCCTGGTTGGTGTGTAGGAGAGAACTCCACAATTAGGGAGGCCAGAGTCATCTCGTGTCCTTTCTAATTTCACTGAGAGCAGCAGCAGGGTTGACCTGTCTGTAGAACACACTGCAGATTCAAATTCTACCTCTGCCCTAAATAAGTCAATGTCCCAACCTTGAGATGATTCAGTTGTAAAATGGGATGAAAGTACCACCATGGGAGCTCTCTGAAAAAGAGTCTGTGACCTGCTTGCTTAGTCCAGTGTCTGGACAACAGTAAGAACATGAGAACTGATCACAGTCCAAACAAGGACAAGCTCAGCCAACAAGCCCGGAACATAGCTTGGAGGAAGAAAGTCTTGGTGAAAAGCCTCCATCTGGGGCTGCGATTCTTGTCATGCCCAATCAACAACTTCACATTCTCCCAACAAATGAGTCTGGTGGGTTGCAGACTCTCTCATCCAACTTTGTCTGCCTGAGATTGCTGGCCATCCCTGTGTTCACAGCAAATGGATAACTTCTGTAAACCTTGTGCTTGGAAGCCCTGCTTGTTCTTCGTGACTGTGAGCAGCCATGTGAGTGCAAGGAATTGAACTGTTTGAAAGTTGAACGTTAGAGTTACATCAGAATTGTCCTTAGTAAGCCATGACACTGGGGCTTTTGGCTGACCGTTCACTGCTATTCCTTCAACGGCATCGATCCTCCAGGAGCATAGCAAGTGTTCTTAAACACTGAGCCATGTCCCCAACCCTAAAATTCTTAGGATCGTGCTTCCCAAAGCTTTCACATAAATTTAATAAGACAGCCTTCCATGGGTTGTCCTATGCTGCAAAACCGTACCCCTCCCTCATCAGCACCATTAACTGAAAAGGCTTGCTGGCTTCTTAGGCGTAGAATTTTAATCATTTCTTATTTTGGACAGTGTTGGGTTTTTTTCTTTGAAAGTATTAGTAATGGTAAAAAGACCTAGGTGACACACAATCCATCCAGTCAACACGTTTATTCCAAAATTCCTAAGGGCAATGCCATTGAAGGAATAGCAGTGAACGGTCAGCCAAAAGCCCCAGTGTCATGGTTTACTAAGGACAACTCTGATGTAACTCGAACTTTCAACTTCCAAACAGTACTTTGCCATGTTTAACTGTCCTGCTTCCCAAAGTCAGAAAAACAAGAACCAGGAAGCATCCTAACAGCAATTTTTTTTTAAGAATCTTGAAAACTAAAATTCTAGTATCTACCCAGAAAATGTATTTGTTTCCCACCTCCCACTAATGCACTCCTCGTCTGCCTCTGAAACTGGTTCTACGGAAAGAGCTGCAAGCCTGATTGGCTGGGATAAATTGTGTTTCCAAAGGAAACAGACAAAGAGGAGAGAAGAGCTTCAGGAAACATGAGGCTTCCGAAGCATTCCTTAGCATTCCATCTGTTACTCTCCTGGTGTCTGGGAGACACTAGCAGTGCTGAGGATATAGGCAAGGAAACACTTGAGGGTGACAGATCCCTAACGACAGTGCAACTGCCCCACCCAGCCTTCTTTTTTGTGTGACAGATGTCTACTGGAAATGGTTATTCAATTATAGCTATATCAGTGAATTTTCATGATGCATAAATCACATCCTCGCTGAGCTGGCCAGCTGGGGAGGGGGTGGGCATCCTCGTTGGAATGCAGAGTGAACTCTTCAACTGCAACACCCACCTCACAGTCTATAAAGACGTGGCCCTTCTGGTACATCAGCACTGCCGCCTCTCTGGGGTCACCACCTTGCCAAGCTCCCTCTCCAGCAAGACCATGTCGCTTTCAGTCCGCACCTCTGCACTGTCCAGGAGGTCATCCTCTCAGAGTGGGGTGGCAGCAAGACCTTGGGGAGCATCTGCTTCTAGTGTTGCAGGCAGCTATGGAGGAATGGCCTCCGGCCTTGGAGTTGGCTGTGGGGGGCTCCTTTCTGCTGCTTCCATGTTTGGCTGTGGCTCTGGCTTTAGTGGTGGCTCTACATGCTCTTTACCAGGGCTTGGCACTGCCTACGGGGGACCTCTGGGAGGTGGCTTCGGAGGACTGGGAATAGGGGGAAACTCAGGTGGTGGTTCTCTGTGCGTCTTCTCTGACAATGATGGAGGGCTTCTTTCTGGTTCTGAAAAAGAAACCATGAAAAATCTGAACGATAGACTAGCTTCCTATCTGGGTAAGGTTCGCGCTCTAGAGGAGGCTAATGCGGAACTGGAAAACAAAATTCGAGAGTGGTACGAAACGCGACGCACTGGAGACTCCGGGCCCCAGAGTGATTACAGTAAATATTACCCACTGATTGAAGAGTTAAAGAATAAGGTAAGGGGAAAGGCTTTCGAAACCTTTTTTAAATTATTACAATATTTTATATTAATAAATTAACTTAGATTTTTTTTAATTAGGTTGTACTTAAAGAATTTTCTCCTCCCAAGAAGTGCAGCTCATTCATGATAAAAATGACTGTATTTCCACAATCTTCCTGAAAGAAATGCACATTTCTTAACTTTTTTTTTCATTTCTTAACTTTTGACATTATGTTATCAATACCTTTGCTTTTAATATGAAGCTGTCTTCCTTTGGGGATTTTTGTTTTGTTGTGGTTCTGGAAAGAAAACAGGGCCTTCAGGCATGTGACCAAGTATTCATTCTCTCACTGAGTGAGCTACATCCACAGCCTTTGCCTTAGGAAAACGGAACTGGAGACCCGTTCACTGGGTGAGGTAACCCAAGCCCAGAAAGGCAAATGTACTCTGCTGTCTTTCAGATGTGGACTCTCGTTTTGGATGCTTATATTTCTATGTTTTGAGTTGAACTGGGTGCCTGCCCAGGTAGAAAGCAAGAGAGGAGCCATAGGGAGGAGGGACTTAAGGGGGAGGCAGTAAAACATAGGCCAAGTGAAAGTAGAGGGGCAAAAGTGGCATGAAAAGCTTTAAACAAGGATGAGGTGGAGATGGAGGGAAAGGTAGGGGTGAGGAGGGAAGAGCAATCAAAACTAAGGATGGAGGAAAAGCTATATAGAAACTTACTACTTGAAAGGAAAGTGTTTTAAAAATAAAGAGTCTGAATGGAGGAAGAAAAGTATTTATTTACAGCTCATGTCCAAAATGACATTTTGGAACTACCAGTACTTTAGGACTCCATTTTCAAGCGACTCCCTCTGTTCTTCCAGATCATTTCTGCCAGCGTTGGGAATGCCCAGGTCATCCTGCAGATTGACAACGCAAGGCTGGCTGCTGAGGACTTCAGGGTGAAGTGAGTCTGGGATTCTGATGACACTCCCCACTTCCTGCTTCCGCTGATGGCAAAGGAGCCAGCTCTCCTCAAGTCCACATGCCCCTCACCTCCGGTGCTCTCTTAAATCCACCCGGCACCTTTAGAAGCACTGAAAGTCAAACAGTTCACTTTATTCAGCTTTAAAATTTAAGTTGCTGCCACCTGGAGCAATGGATCATCTCTTCGTAATGACTCATAAGTCAACATGATAATTATACCTATATTTAAACCTGAATTTTCAATATATCAAAATGAATTAATAATATTTTTGCCAAGGGGTTAAAACGGAGTGATTGTTTCCCTGATGACACATACAACAGAAAGCTTAACCACGCATTTATTTTTATATCCCAGCTCCGTTCCCATACCCCACCCTCCTATAGAGAGGGAGCAAAAACTAATTTTCTTTCTGTGTTACAAAATGTACAACAGGAAGTTGTAATGACGATAGTCCGAACCTGTGAAGACCCAGTAAAAGCTACTAATGAAGTATCAAGCTCTACAACTACCCACAAAGAAGAAAACAGAGCAGCTATTTGCTTCTCATCAGCTAGCTTTAGGCTATCTTAGAAAGTCAAACCACAGGGAACCTTCTCCCTGGGATGCAAGAGTCACTGTTGGTAGAAGGTTATTGTCTCGTTATTTCTTCCTTTTCTTCTCTTTTCTCCAAATGGGCAGGAAGCACTCATACAACACAAAGGAGTAAAGTCACAAAATCAAAAATTGCATCATACACTCTTAATGTACTATTTTTCCTCCCTTTTTTTTTTT